GTTGGAATCTGTAAGACAGGCTTGTATGATTTGATTTCCTGGCCCTGTTTTCTGTGGGGGGAGTGTTCTTACCAATGACTATTAAAATCTCTTCAAACTCTAAGCACAGAAGAAATTTCAGTTGAAAAGCTATTTTGATTACTTTCTACTTTTAATAAAGAATATCCAAGCATGAGCTGGATTATGAGAGCAAGTAGACTAATGTTTTGGATTTTTTTTCCTACAGATAGCTCAACTCTTGGCTGAATTGAAAACTATTCAGAGCCACACAGAGCCTCATAAAAGGTTAGCAACCATGTCATTTTCTTTAGTCATAGTGATTGAGAGAAGCGCACTGTTTCTTAACAACAGCAGAAATAGCTTAAAATAATTGAATACAAAACTCATGGTATGATAAAATGGTGACAGTGCTGCAGTAGTTGAACACAAGTCTTGAAGAAAAAAAAGTCTAAGTCAAAAGAGGGGGGAGTTCAAGATACAGATAAGTGGAAACATAAGGGAATGTGTGAGAAGTCTCAGGCCTTGAGGCCCAGGAAGACTATTCTCCAGAAACAGGATTGGGAATAATTTAGTTGTGATGAGAAGTATTTGCCCACCCCACAACCCAAAAGAAGTGGAGGACTAAAGTAGAGGTTAAAACTGAACCTGTTAGAGATAAAGGAATGCATTGATCAGAGGACCTATAGAAAGCTTTTTTCCAGTCTTTTCCAAAAAGCATTCCCGTCATAAGAATGCAAGCACCAACATTGCTTTTGTTCCCTTTCAAGAAACTATTAAACAAATTACTGCCTCACAAACTGCTTAGTCCAAGAAACTGAGGAGTGAGAGGCTATAGTGAATCTAAATTTGATGTTGGTATTTTTGTGATTTTTCAGAAAAAGCTGTGTTGTGACTCAGGTTTGTGGTTGGGAGGTGAAAATGTCAAATCCAAAAATAGAGGTGAAAGTTATAGACTTAATTTATATGAAGTTTATTGGTTATTAGTCTTCCACAGCATGTTCTACCACTACACCTCTGTTTCTGAATTGGGAAGGGGCTTGGCTCCAGTTTGCAGTGGGGAAGGGTGCCTGAATATTTGTGGCCCCCTTGGGTGAGACGCTGCAATGACCAAACCGTTCCAGTACGGAGTGCTGGTTGTGAACTCCCTGTTCTCTCTCCAGTGTGGTTGTCTCTCAGTGGACGAGCATGCTCAAAGTTGTAGCTGTGCACCTGCAGCGCCTGGGGCTGAAGTATGCCATAGTGGATGGCTCTGTCAATCCCAAACAGAGGATGGATGTGGTGGAAGAGTTCAATAACAATCCCAAAGGGCCTCAGGTATGCATTCAGGGCAGGGAAGCAGTCCCTTGCCCTGCTATGAGCAGCTGTGATGTCTGACTCCGTGGCTGTAAACGGGTTCCTTAATGCTCTTTTGGCCTTTGAAGGTAATGTTGGTCTCGTTGCTGGCTGGAGGCGTTGGCCTGAACTTGACTGGAGGAAACCATCTCTTTCTCCTTGACATGCACTGGTAAAGAGAAATACAAATGGCATCTTGGAGAGGATATGTATGTGCATGCTGCTTGCTTTGTCACTGAATGTAATGTTTGATGCAGCTGGGTTAGGAGGGAGGTGTTTAGCTTATAGTTGGGGTTAGTGGTTAGTTGGGGAAAAGTGTTTGTACTGTGGCCCTCATCCAAGATACTGATTTTTCAATCCAGTGCTCACTGCTCTGAAATACAGTTCTTTAGGGCCAAGAAAAAATAGAGGAATATAACAGCAATCCAGGTATGCAGCTCTGTATCACAAAATGCCACCGGGGACTTGGCAGTCCCTGGCTTCATTTCTTGCAGTAATAGAAGTGGTGCAGTAATGCCTACAGGCAGTTTGGCTTGAAAAACATCAATGGTATGAAGTGTAGTCAGTAACTGGGCACAGCTAGAGTACCTCTGGGTTTTACATATGAGAAGAGTGTGTGCAAATCCTGATATTTGTGTTGTTTCATCAAAGTCAGGTTTTCTCATCAAAGTCACAGTTTTTTTTAAACTAAACGTTACTCATGAGAACTTAAAAAGCAAACTAATGTGCCTCATACAAAACCAGCTGCTGTGTAGTATCATTAAGGAGATGCTTCTACAATATGGAGGTTACACCAACAAGTATTCCCTGTAAGGTTATCAGATGGACCCACCTCTTATGTAAATATTCCTGAGTGATGGCCTTTTTCACTGGGGTTTGCCTTTTTGCTTCACTCTCTTTTCTCACCACCTACTCAGCTTTCTCAGAGTTACAACTGTTGGCCAGGCTTAGGGCTACGTGGACCAGTGGTCTCAGTCCAGTGGTCTGCAGTCGGCTTTGTGTGAAACCCAGGGCAAAGGGCAGTGCTGACAGGGTGAAGGCTGGCCATCAAGCTGGTAAACCTAAGGTAGCCTGGAAGCAGTTTTAGTTCTACAGAGGAAGAAAACAGGATTCCCTGGAGGGAGGAAAATGACGCAATTTTTTTTGTTTTTTTTAATTACCTTGTAGGAATCCTGCTCTGGAGGACCAGGCATGTGACCGCATTTACCGTGTGGGGCAGAAGAAGGATGTTGTGATACACAGGTCAGCATTTTACTTAGCAGAACGAGGTGCTGCTGCTTATGCATTGTCTGGCTTTAGTCAGTGAGACAAGACCTTGCTTTTTCTACTTAGAGCTAGACACAAGGTCTGACAGTGGCTTTGAGATTTGGGCAGTGAAATAAAAATGTTTTCATGTGTTCTGTGTGGCACTTGCATGCATGTTGCTGTCTTGACAGCTAACAGGGGTTTCTTGTTTTTTAGCCTGTGGATTATTGGGAATGTCCTGTTCATTCCTGAGAACAGTTTGGGCGCCAAACCATTTCTCTTAATTGAGTGGAGATTTTTTCACTGTGATCTCTAAGCCTGAACCCTTCTAAAAAACACATAAAGCATTTCTAATAAGTGGTAAAGTTGACTTTTAGAAAAAGCATCTGTAACTAAGTACTGAACGATTAAATTAGTTATTATAAATGCACAGTACGTTCAAAGACTGGAATCTAAAATGTTCTTTTGGGTATTATTTTTGTATAATAGGTGCCATCATTTATTGTGCAATAATTACAGGATTTTGTCAGAGGATTGCTGTTATTTCAGCTGACCAAAGTTGAGACCTGAAGTGCATCAGACTTACATTTGAAATTGTGGTTGGATATGAGGATAGCTGTTTTCTGTTCAGAGATTGTCTCAGTTTGAGACAAAATAGGAGGAGAAGTATTTTGTCAGTCATATAATTGGCTAGTTATTAATTCCTAAGTAAGATGAATCTTTTGAAATGTACTGGGGACATGTTTATATAACACTGACATTTTTTTGTAGCCCTTGAGATGGTGTGGATTTGTTTTGTCCTTTTTAAAATTTTTTTTTAGGTTTGTCTGTGAAGGAACGGTAGAAGAAAAGATCCTGCAACTCCAGAAGAGGAAGAAAGGTCTTGCCCAGCAGGTTCTGTCAGGCAAAGGAGAGACCTTCACTAAGCTCACTCTGGCTGACCTTAAAATTCTCTTTGGCATCTAATTATCTAATTATTTGCTATACCCAACAGAAAGTAACTTATACCTGCGAGTAACTGCAGATTTCATCATAAGGCTTCTGTTCTGAGGTGGTCGTTTATTTTGAACAACTACATTTTTGTAACTGTTCTGGAAAGTTATCAACTTCAATAGCTAGTTTCAATATTGATCATTTATACAAAGGTTAATAAAGTTGTAAGTTAAGGTATTGTTTTGAAACAAAAATGTTTCTTGGTTTTCTCTGAATGCCTCTTACTTGGAACACTTTTCAGGACAGGAGATGCACAGGCGTAAGTGCAACAAGAAAGGGAGACAAACATGAGGTAGGGAAGTTCAGAGGTTGTGTGGGCATGAAGAAAGGGAAAAAAAATGAGTATTCTATAAGACTATATACATTTTAGAATTGTGAGTGTCAAAATTAAGGAAGGACTCAAAAGAATACTGTTGCTGTTGAGCTTGTTAAAGAAAGACAAGGGATACACATTTTATGGAGCAAAAGAAGGGGTCAGTTTATTCCCATGTCTCTTTATATAGAGTTTTAAAGAACACCCTGTGTCTATCCCTGATTGGGTAGTAACAAGTTGTTACCCTGTACTGACTGGTCACTCAATCCCCTGGTGTGTACATGCAGAAAAAGTTGTTTGTGATATATTTTCATTTTTCTGCCTAAGGGTTGCAAAAAGTTCATGCAGGTGGCTAGTGTTTTTCACAGTCCCAGAGTTTTTTCTCAGAGCAAGCAGGTTGTTTTCCACTGCTGCAGGACTCCCTTCTCACAAAGAGCTGGCAGCTTTCTCATGGTTTTGGTCGGCTCATGTCAGGGTTCAGTTTGTAAGGCCTCTGGCCTGCTGTTCCACCATCACAAATACTTCACTTTCTCCTTTGTTCTTGAGGAGGACTTTTTCTACCCTGCTCAAAATATTTACTGAAGCAGGGACTTAGATTTCTTTTATGTTTCTGTAAACAGAACCTGAGTTTCTAATTGTTGTGGGGATTTTTTTCCTGACTATTAGTTTTGAGGACAGTCTGAAGTTGAAGGTCTAGCACCTACCTTTAGCTGCCCTCTCATGAACTGGCAAATTTCTGCTGCAAAGTGATGTGAATTGACTTTGAATACCAAAATCACACAATTATTTTTAAGTAATAATCAAGAGGTGACTTCGGTTTGCACAGTTATCTACAGGTTTGAGCAAAACTGTATCTCTAATGTTAGTACTGGGCTCTGGACTGCTCTAATGCAAGGTCTTTGTAACCCAAAAATCCTTGGTCTCTTGTGGAGGGTTGAGAGCGCCCTTCACCTGTGCCTTCTGGGGGGGTGACAAAACAGTGGTTCCTGCTGCTGAATGCTTCAGGGTGGCCTTTCAAGGGCGCTTGTACAGCGCCTGGGGCTGCAAAAGGCAGCTGGGGTGCTCTGCTGTCCCGGCTGGCATCCTGTCCAGGTGCCAAAAACGATGGGCGCTCACC